TTAGGAAACAACAAGGAAATTTGTCAAGCATCAAGTCTTTTATTGTCCGGTCTACTGCCTCTTTTTCTTCGCCTAAAGGTACTTTAGGACTTCCTTTGACAACTAGGTCCTCAGTTTTGACCGAGCTGTCAAATGTTGATTGCTATTTATCGTGCCCCTCCGGCGTGCTGTTTTCTCGGTACTCTGCCTTATCCTTGGATTTGACAGAAGCCAATAAGCAAGTTCTAGAGCAGATCTGGTCTCCTCGGATATTGCATATTCCATCAAACGATGGGAATTTGAGCATTTGATGGTAAGTTGAAGGTACTGCCGTCATCTCGTGCAACCAGATACGTCCCATTATGCGTTGTAAGCCGACACTGTATCCACTACAAGGAACTCAGTCATGGCGCATACTGGTCCCGTTTTTACAAGCAAGGTGATCTTTCCTTTTGGAAGAACTATCTTACCACTAAAGCCAATAAGTAGTGTATTAGAAGGCTTGAGGTCTTCCTTCTTAAGTCCAAGCTTTTCGAACAGATCCGTATACATAATTTATGAGGAACTCCCTAGATCGATCAGGACCCTCCTTACATCAAAAATTGTAATCCGAAGTGTGATGACGAGGGCGTCATTCTGCGGCTGGTGAACACCGACCAAATCCTGCTCAGTGAAACAAATCGCTCTGGCTCTATCCTCAATCTTTAATCTTTTGCTGGTGACTTTCGGGGTCATTCTTAGCTCGTATACCTCTATTTCTTTGAATGCTTTTTGAATGTAAGCCCGAGCAGAGTTGTTTGTGGACATCTGGGGGTTGGTGGCAGCATGGATCACGTCAATTATTCCAACTGCTGTATTTTGGTCCCCTTTCTGCTCGGCACTTCCCTCTTCAATTTTTTGCCTGCTTTCGACAAATTCTGCTAGATGTCCAGCCTGGACAAGTTCCTCCAAATGTTGCATGAGAGGTCGGCAATTCTCAGTCATGTGGCCAAATTCCCTGTGATAGGAGCACCTAAAGTTAAGATTCTTTTTTGAGGGATCGCCCATTAGTTTGTTCAGCCACTTGAAGAATGACTTTCCCTTAATCTGATTCAGCACCTTGTAAATTGGTTCTTTAAATAGCGTATTTACCCCAAGAAAAGGGGACTTTTGGGGGTATCCTTCCTTTTCATACTTCCTTCCAGTTTCTCTGTTCGGCTCGATTTGCTTGTCCCTGTCGAACTATTTTTTGCTCAGATGTTCCTTTACCACCTCTCTGGTTAAGTCATCGTCCACCTTGGCGTATTTTTCAATTCTAGTCATTAATTCTTCCAGATCGATAGCAAGTCTTCTTGTGAGGGATTGGTATAGAGGGTTTTCTTTTGGTAACCCAATCTTTAAAGACGACATAGCTATCTCTGGATTGTAACCTTCAACTTCATTCATAGTCTCCCAATAGCGATGGGCATACTCGCGCAAGCTTTCGTTATTTTTCTTCTTTAATGTAAGTAGAGCGCCGACGTCTTTCGGTTGTTTACTGCTGGTGATGAACCGAGCCGTGAACAGCTCGGCCAATTGAGACTATCCCTCAATTGTTCCCTTTGGTAAACTATCAAACCATTTCATGGCTGACTCTCCAAGACTGTTGGGGAAAATAGTGCAAAGCAAAGGCTTGTTTCTTCGGTGAAGTTGTCGATAGTATCTGATATGTGAGGCTAAGTCAATTTTTTCGTCGTACAACTTAAAGTTCAGAACGATGAACTTGCTTGGGATTCTTGTCTTTTCGACCCAAGCAGTGAACGGGGATGACTCCAATCCGCCCTCGTACTCCCCTGTTGCTCTTCTAGCCAGGTCCCTTGCTGACCTCTGCTCAGGTCTCTTCAAACGATTGTTGAGCTCTTCGTTGATATACTGCTTCCAAATGTCCTCCTCCTGGACCCGAGGCTTCTTTTGCGGGTACACTTCATCGATAATCTTAGTTTTGCTAGACTTCTTTCTTGGGCTCGGATGCCGCTCATTTCTCGCTCGTTTCTCCCTTCTGGTTATCTCTTTCAACTTGGTTCTTAACTCCTCGTTTCTTTAATTAGATCCTTCTCCCTGGCGTAGGATTTCTTGAACAGCTTATCATGGGAATCAATTCGTCCCTACAGAGACTGGACCAACTTTGTCAAGGAACGGTTCTCCCCCTCGGTACGGAGGGATTTACCATGATCCTTAATTTGGTTCTCCGACGGCTTGAAACTTGCAGAAGATATTTTTTCATCCTCATGGACTCTGGCGGGGCTTCCGACAGCATGTAACCTTGCGTTGCTATTAGAAGGAAGAGGCGCAGGATCAGAATTCCCCAAGGCAAAGCTGCATACGGGTGATCCAATTGCGCTCCTTAGTCTTGACATAGCAGTTTTTTGTTCTGAAAGTTGAGAAACTAGGTTTCCCACAGACGGTGCCAAAATGTAGAGGCAAAAAATTGATAATACCTCTAACACTCAATTCATGATGTAACTTTCTGGAAAAGAATTATGAACTATCCCCAAATCTTCTTCCTGCAAAACGAACAAACTACCCAAGATTGAAGTGTTTCGATCGAAGGCACTCCAATGCTTAAGTCAGTAATGGAACGAGAAAAATTGCACGAAGACAAGGAGAGTTCAGCGTACCTTTCACTTTGGTCTCTTCTTTTTTTTATAGATCATTATCCCCTTAGGGTTTCCATGATTTTAGGTTCAAGGTGGAACACCTTCCTTTCATTCAGTATTTGAGTTTTGGAAGGTTTCTAATGTTTCTCCAACAATTTCTCATCGTATCTTCAATCTCGTTGATTTCGTTTATCTGATTGCCTAAGTTTTAGGCAAGTCTTTAACTTTCTTTCTACCACTGTGAATTGCTTGGGCATTCCGAATGCCGAGCTCGATTAACGTTTGTCGAACTGTTTGGAAACTCAATTTGGTACAAATCGCGCATTCTAGAGAATTTAGCTTGGTACAAGCCGAGCACTTTCCTGGCTTTGCTGAACGGATTCATGAGCTAGCTAGGCGTGAAAGCCGAACTCTTTAATCTTCTTGTTGAACCCTTTATTCTGTTCGGCTCAGATTAAATGACTGGGTGGATGACTTCCTCCTCACGTGATCAGTCTTGTCAATCTCTCGTGAGCCCATTTAATGTTCTAACACGTGTAATCACGAGGATTAGCCCATTCATATATGTATCAAAGAGATGAAGAATTACCTAATGCTGAAGGAGGAGTTGCTACCCAGCCGAAACAGAGATGCCGAAGAATTACCTAATTTGAAAATGAATCTGCTACCCAACTGGAACAGCCGCTAGAGGAACTCGAAAGCAGAGAGATTGGGCAGAGAAAATTTTAGATTGGGGAAAGATTGAACAACGTGATTGAGCAGAACTCGGGCCCTTTGACAGTGAACCCCTGTGTGTGCGATTGAGCAGAGAAAGCAAAGAGATTTGTGGTTTTGGACAGCGACACAAAAGAGGGAGGTGTTTGCGAGAGAGAGAGAGAATAGATGTTTGCCCAGAAGAGGGATGGGGGGAGGGTGTTTGTGCAGAGGGAAGTGACTCTCCGCCTAACTCGCCGCCTGTGTGTTGCCATGGCGTGGTTGCTTATCCGGGGATTTGGGGATGTGATCGCCCGAGAGAGAAGAGAGATGGGGATGTGATTGCCTAAGAGAAAAGTGCTGGGAGCCGTTGTGATAGGTGGGTTAGGTTGGATGGGTTCGATTGGGTTAGGTTAGATGGGTTGGGTTGGGTTAATTTGGGGGGGGGGGAATATAGTGGGGATAAAATTTAATTTCCATCATGTTTTATTATATATATATAGTAACATTCGAATACAAAAAAATAATTATCATTTGGACACAAAAAATAATACATTTAAATATAAAAAAATAGTAACATTTAAACATAACAAAAATTGAAACATTCAATATTAATATTTTTAAAAAATAACAACAGTAACATGTTCAACAAAAATATTAACATGTTCAACAAAAATAGTAACATGCTTAACAAAAAATGTGACATACTTAACAATAATTATTTCTCTCAAATTCAAACGCAAAAAATAATACCATTCAAATACAAAAAAATAGTAATATTCAAAAAAAAAAAATAGTAACAGTGAATATTAATATTTAGGAAAATAATAGTAGTAATATGGTCATAAAAATAGTAACATGCTCAAAAATAATAGTACATGAACCGTAACATACTCAACAAAAACAGTAACATGAACAGTAACATAATAAAAAAATAGTAACATGAATTTAAATTTTACTATTCAAATTCATAATAACTTTTTTTTTTGTATTTGAATGTTACTATTTTTTTTTAATATTACTATATATATATATACCTAACTTATGTATGAATATAGATAGATAAGAGAGGGGAAAAATTTTAATATTAGTGAAACTCTTAACCTATATATGGATATAAATAGATATAAGAGAAAAAATTAATTTATTTTTAAGGAAGAGTATTTTTGAAATAAAAAAAAAAGTGAACTTAAGTAATTATATATAATTTTCAAGATGGACTTAACCCCTTATAAGTTTTGTTGTAGGACTTATCTCCGAATAAGTACATTTAGAGGGACGCACTTTTAATTTTCACTTTGTTTTCAAGAAATTGAAAATCCATTACGACGATGTTCAATTCGTTTTGTTGGCTTTCCCACACCTCACTTCTCAACAAGTAATGTTACACTAACAAAATTTTAGAATTAAATTTAAAATTTAAATGATTTGACAACTGACTTAAACTTCTTTATTTAGTGTTATGCCATTTGAACCTGAATAAAATTTCTAAATAATATGCTATTTATGGGCTCTAAATTTGATACCATAATTTAGTCGAGCATTAATATTTATATTTATGAAGGTTGTGTGATGACCGTCACACCATAACATATCTTACTAACCCTACTCTACGCCTCCCTATAAAACGTTCCATCACGTTTCTTGGCATCTCTCTCTCTCTCAATCAATCCTTTTCTTGATTCTCTGAAACTAACACTTGGACCAATCCCGATGGAGATGTCTGTGGAGAAACACGAAGAATACGACTACCACTACAAATACGACTACCATTACAGATACGACGGCTACACCGTGTACGTCGGTGACCACCGCATCCTTACCATCTACACCGAAAGTTACGACACTGCCACCAAATGGCTCAAGGAAGTCCGCAAGATCCACTGCAACAACAAACACAACACTCTCCTCGTCGGCGTCTACGTCGACCGTCAATTCCTCTCCTACGAGCGTCACGGCCTCAAGGACTCTCCCTACGATCTCATCTCACTCTGTATCGGCTCACATTGTCTTATCTACCGCCTTCTCCATCCAGAACATTACCGTACCCCAAGAATACTTGAAACCTTCTTCACCGACCCTGCTGTCATTGCCGTTGGTATGAACATGGTATCTGTCGCCAAGAAGCTGATGTGGGACCATGGAATCAAGTTTGTGAACCCTGTGGACTTGAATACTATGGCAATGAAGGGCATGAAGAGGGACGATCTGGATATAGGGCGGTACGATCTTGATCGGTTGGCTAAGGTGGTGTTAGGGAAGCGCTGGGACATAGTAAGGCCTAAACAACCGGTGGAGTGGTACGAGAGGGATGAAATGTTGACGGTGGAGAAGGTGATGTTTGTTACTGTTGATACCTACTTTTATTATCGGATCGGATCTGAGCTTCTTGATATGATGAACTGTTTGCATCCGCTGCCTTCTTCTTTGAAGACGAAGAAGAACAAGAAGAAGTAGTTATGTTTTTAGTCGTAAGTCGTACTAATTTGCACTGTTCTTTCGATTTCGTGGACCGAAAGCTTAACTAAGAAGTTTCAAAGATGATCTTCCTTCCTAGGCTCCTAGCGTAGGCCATCAACACCATCAAGTTCCTGTTGCGGTTGATGCTTCTTAAAACGATGATCTAGTCTTGCTTTAGTTGAATAAGAGCAGGCCTAGCCTAGTAGTAGTGTTCTAGTAATTTTTTACTTGAAGGTTGGGTTGTTTGTTTCTCAATAGTTTTTGCTCTTGCGATCCTATGTTACTTTTAGTAGAGGTATTGTATATGTTTTTGATTACTATTAGTGGAAGTAGTGAGTAATACTTTCCCGAAAACTTTAGCGATGAATTCTTCGATGCTGTTCTGGCATTCTTTTGATGATGTAAAAGTTTAATGGCTGTTCTTAGATTCCTGCTAATATTTGGATAGCCGGATGGCTCTGTAAGGTTGTGATTAAACGACGGCGATGTCTTCCCAGGCACTTAGCCTGTACTTAGCTTAGGAGGAGGTGGAGTTGTAATGGCGTCGTGATGAATTTTACAAACCCCTGTAATTGGTGTGGTGTCACGTGCTTCTGTACGTGCGATGATGCCGGAGTTCACTTCGGTCATGTGCGGCGTTATGCGTCCGGTGAGGCACGTAGGCCGTGATAATGAGCGATTGTGCATTGTTACTTAGTAGTTTGGTATTAACCGTACGTACTACCATACCGGAGTGGGCTTGCTGCTTGCATTCCGTGGTTATTAAGGGACAAAGTGCCAAATAATTTGTACGGTTGCTCCATCCGGTTAAAGTTTGTTACGATTCTTTTAGATGCGTCCGTCCCAGGCTTTGGTTTTATATTTTGTTGTTATTGTCCTGGTACTAATTTTAACTTTATTTATAATCCTCGATTATATGTCTAATTTTAACTTATTTATAATCTCTGATCATTCAAATATTAAAATAAGATGACTTGTCATATATCATATTTTAATAGGGAAAAATATAATTATTTTATTATATTATTTCACATTACAAATCACCACAAAAATGTAGATAAATAAAAAAAAAACTGTGGTCAAACTGTAATTCATTTTCAAGATGGTGCCAAATTTTCCCTATAATTTCAATTCTTCTCTTATTTTATCACTAAAACATTACGTAACAAAGAAATAATTTTTTTTTTTTGATAAGTTGAAAAGAGCAATTTTAAGATGCACCTGATGGTGATTAATTTGGTAAGTTTGCGGTAGCAACCATTGATATTAACTCCAAATTAGCCCATAAGTAACCACTAAGCTCAACACCAATGAGACAGATCGGTGTTATATATTGGGCCTGGTATCTGGTCGATGTAGCGTTTTATTTTGTTGATCTTAGATTGGCTTGTCTAAGGTAAAACAAAAACTGGACAGGTACCATGGTGCATGTTGGGCCATGCAGTACAGTTTTAAGGGGATAGGAACAAATTCGTGCCGTGAGAACACCATGGCCCAATACAATAAAAAAACAGAAAAAAAGGCATGAAACCTTAAATTAAGGGGTCTTCTCGACTTTTTGGGGACGTTCTAATCTTTTTGTGGGGGCTATTTAGTATTTGTTGCCTTTTTTTTATTAAAAGAAAATTAGCCACGGAATATAATTTGGCAGGCTATGATTTATTTCATCCATTTGGGAGCTTAATGTGGATGGTGCTGCTAATGGTAACGGGGCTTCTGGCTTATCAGGATCGAGGTGGTGTTGTGCTACGCAATTCAGCAGGAGTAATGGTGTTGGCTGCATCTCATTTTTTTATTAATTAAAAAGTAGCAATTTGTTCGGCCGAATTCTTTTACTGGATCCCCTCTGATAATGTAATATTCATATGCACTCAAACACGCATGCGCGGCGGACAATATGTCAACATTGATCTTGACAAATATTAAGTAAAAAATGCAGGCCAAGTTTATAAAGTACAATGAAATAGCTGGAACGATGCAGAAAATGTTATATAGCATGCGTCCAAGCCAGTGTGCAACCAACCCGATCCCGATTATATTAGTTAGAGAGGCAGAGTAGAAATCTATGCTCCTCGTTAATTACTACAAGCCAACCCCTATTACAACCACAATTTCCCGGCAAAACCTCTCCATGTCGATGCCAAGGTGACTATATCTTTCTCTTTCACTCATACTCATACATACAAGAATTACATAATTTCTTTTTTTTTTTTCCACTTGGAATAGCAAACATATCTAGATTGAATGAATTTTCAGTCTAGTTTTGTTGAGAAAGAACATATTTTCAAATGCTGTGAAATTCTTGCTGACAAATTATTAATGTCAATTTGAACACAAAGTTAGATTCAGTTTAGATGAAGTTAAGTTTGATTAATAGTCAATCGTATCCAAAACGACGCCACACAAACACAACCAACTAAGGTTTTGCACAATCTTTCCATGATGATTCTATTATGTATTTGATGTTGTTATAGGTTAGAAGGTAAGGTTGCAATAATCACAGGAGCAGCCAGTGGCATTGATGAGGTGACCGCAAAGTTATTTGCGGAGCATGGGGCCTTTGTGGTCATCGCCGATATTCAAGATGAATTGGGTCTCAAAGTTGTTGCTTCAATTGGTCCGGACAAAGCTAGTTATAAGTATTGCGACGTAAGGAACGAAAAACAAGTCGAAGAAACTGTGGCCTTCACCATAGATAAATATGGCTCCCTTGATATCATGTACAGCAATGCAGGAGTCATGGCTCCTCCGTGTAGCATCCTACAAATGAACATCGAGGAGTTTGACAACACAATTGCCATAAATTTATGTGGTTCGGCTTTAGCCATCAAGCACGCAACGGGGTTCGATTATTTGCACAGGGAGCGTCTCATCAACTCTTGGTGGCAATGGTCCACATTCATATACCACTTCTAAACATGGTCTATTAGGCATTGTTAGATCGGCTGCGAGTGAATTGGGGAAGCATGGCATAAGGGTCAACTGTGTTTCTCCTTATGCAGTTGACACACCTCTGGTGTTTAACACCATGGCTAAGCTGAGTTTGGATCCAAGAATGTTTGAAACTGCAAGGTCTGCCATGGCCAACTTGAAGGGAATAGATTTGAACTGTAAACATGTTATGTAAGTGGACATAATTTAGCTGTTGATGGTGGTGTTAGTGTTATCGACACTGCTAAGGATATAGTTATGAGGCGTTGATAATCTTAGGGGTTTTGAATATTGTTAATTTGTGGTATTTTATCTGTAATAGTGGTCGATCATATGCGATCTACCTGTAATAGTGGTGTTGGACACCTACGAGCGGTATCCGAAAAATGGGGATGAGTTTAATAATTATGTGAAATTATTAGGCCAGCATATTCCATGATTGTGTGCTATACTATTTATATAATAAAATAGAAGTATATTTGAATTTTATTTTAGTCATATTTTTTCTCTCAAAACTATCATCAATCACTTACCTCAACCATCATCCTTTTGTCAGACTCAAATGTCAAATCACATAACTTATTTTTATCACATATTTAATTATTTATATATTTTCTTCCTAAAAATATCACACCATTTATTTCTATTATATATGTAATCATTTAATAGTTAATTAATTTTTAGTTAATATATTTTAAAAAATTTAATATAGTAAGTTCGATTTTTTAGACGTTCGAATTTTATATTTTATTGTGCTTTCAAGCACAAGTTATGATTAGTTAATATATATATATATATATATATATATATATATATATATATAATACTGACAATTTGCAGAGAAAAGAAATAATATTTTTATTATTGACAACGAAAGCAACCATAGTTTAAGCAGAGAATGGCAGCTGGCAATCGGTATATCCGCTGGCATCCATTTTGACGTGCATTGATCGATTCTGACAGAGCATCTTGTTGCCGTATTAATTATAAGCTAGCTGAGTTCACCACTGGGACTCGGTCACTCAATCTTGTTATAGACCAACCACTTTGCATACCTACACATATGTACAACTGCTCGAATGAAAAATAAATTTTTTTTTTTTTTTTTTTTTGTTTTTCAATGGTTAAAAATGTTCGAGTGAATTTTTTTTGTTTATAACTCATCCATATTGACTACCTTTCTTTTGAGATTGTGTGTGACTTTTGTTTAGTAAAATATTATAATATCACAATAGCCTTTGCAAGCTCATTGGTTTGCATGTGAAATGTTGGACTAGTGTTGTGAATATATTTTTGCATCAAATTCAAGCCGGGCCTTAAAATAACTTTTTTGTTTTCTGCCGATGAGTTCCTTCATGTCGAGCAGACAAGCACTTAAAGAAACAGGTATCCTTAATTAGGATCTCCTACTGATTTCTGCGCCAAGAGGACATGTGATACGTATGTGAACATGTCAACTTGCATCGAATAAATCCATTTGCAGCAAAGCAACACTTGGATAGCCTGAGAACTATTTAATCACCCATACAAATGCTGGGTGCACAGAACTTAAACAAGTTGCAGAATTAGTTTAAACACTTATTCCAATTGCAGAGGGATCGATACTCATGTTACATAGTACTTTTAAATTAAATTTTCATTTGATGGAATGGAAGAGTTGACCTAAAACAGATTAATTAGTATAGTGGCTGAGGAAGCATTTCTAAGATATTTTTCCCCATAAATACAGTGGTAGTTAGCAAAAGAGAAAGATAAAATTGGCTGGAACAATGCATTGATAATAGCCTGATACAGTTTATATTACAATTGTCAATGTCTCGAGCTCTGGACCCTAGCTACCTAGTGAACCTAATAATCTATAAAACCATAAGTCTATACAAAACCACAGCAGATCCAAGAAAGAGCCTTGCTGCAAAATTTGAGCAAACCATCGCAGAGAGAAGGAACTCATCAATGTCTTCTAAGCTAAGGTGAAATTATATATGCCTATGCCTGTGCCTATGCCTATGCATCCAATTTCTCCTTCTGGCTTCTGTGATAAGAGGTCTCGTATTTTTTTAAACATAAACATGTAAGTTTCATGAATTGCTTACAGTTTTTATGTGATAATTTTTTAGGTTGGAGGGTAAGGTGGCTCTTGTCACTGGCGCTGCTAGCGGGATCGGCGAGGAGGCCGTGAGATTGTTTGCTGAGAATGGAGCCTCCATTGTTGTTGCTGATGTTCAGGATGAATTGGGCCATCAAGTCATTGCGTCAATAGGCTCGGAGAAGGTCAGTTATCATCACTGTGATGTGAGAGATGAGAAGCAGGTTGAGGAAACTGTGAATTACACCTTGGAGAAATATGGAAATCTGGATATTTTGTTCAGCAATGCTGGAATCATAGGAACTCTAACCGGCATACTAGAACTTGACCTCGACGGTTTTGACAATACCATGGCTACCAATGTTCGTGGAGTTGCTGCAACGATTAAGCATGCTGCTCGTGCTATGGTGGCTAGAAAAATACGCGGATCCATTATATGCACCACAAGTGTGGCAGCATCTCTTGGAGGAACTGGTCCTCATGCTTATACCATTTCAAAACATGCTCTTGTGGGTCTAGTCCGAACAGCTTGTAGCGAACTAGGTGTTTATGGGATTAGGGTCAATTGCATCTCTCCATTTGGTGTTGCCACCCCTCTTTCCTGTAGAGCTTACAATTTGGAACCCAATGAAGTTGAAGCTAATAGTTGTGCCCTGTCCAACTTGAAGGACATTGTTTTGAAGGCTAGGCATATTGCTGAGGCTGCTCTATTTCTTGCTTCCGATGAGTCGGCTTACATCAGTGGACACAACTTGGCTGTTGATGGAGGCTTTACGGTGGTTAACCACAGTTTCTCCGCCACATAATGTGGGTCTTTACTTGCATTTCCTTGACGGACATGTATTTTGACAAAGTGAATTTTCATTCCAAGTCAAAACATGTGACCAACACTTCCTCCATGTGCTCTCTCCTTGTAATCAGCATTTAATGTTATCTTTTTTCCTATCTCCCATTCACCTTGTCTCACACAATGTGTCGAACCTACTAATTACCCCATCTTAATTCATAACATGTTCAGCTTTCAGCTGTCCCTCCTTGTGGCTACATGAATTAATGCGTACGTATCAAATAAAGAAGAAGAAATTAATGGAAAAGGAATGCATTCTCCTTCATAACATAGTCCATAAGCGTACAAATGCAATGTCAGTAATCAGACATGTTATGTAACAAAAATAGACATATGGCTACACCAATGAATAGTTGTGTCGTTGTAGCACAATTGGTTAAGTCAGTGCTAAAAAAACATCTTAAGTAAATAAATAAACATAGTGTAAGCACTTATTCCTCCTTAATTAACTTTTTTTTTTTTTTGGCGAGGAAAAAGGGGACTTGAATCATTGACCTCAATAAGGCAAAGCATTTATTCCTCCCTAATTAACTCAATTTTATAGTCCCTAGCTAAAGGCATGAACTAGAATGCCCATGGACCATGAGAATTTATAATGAATTTGAAGCTGCATTATGCTAACCAAGTGGCATATGGGACTTTGACAAGGCTAGAACTAAAACTATTTATATGGGTAAGATTGCAATGTGAGCAATTTCATTACTAGAAATGTCTTTTAGTCCTAGGGTTATATATAGCATATTGTTTGCTACAAATTAATTTTGAAATTAATATGATTTGCTTATTAACCATTATGCTTAGTTGCCATTTCAATGAAAACCATAAATAATTCAACTTGTGATGATTAATTATGAACTAAAGTATACTAGTTAAGACTTTTTCAGGAAAAAATTAGATTTTTATTTTTATTTTTTATTTTATATCAATAAATGATATAATATAACATAAATTTTTGTTATAAATTTAAAATATTTAATATTTTATCTTTAATTGAAGTATTTTTTATGTAACTATAATATTTTAAACTTGAAGTGTCTAAACATATCTATTAAACGACCAAAAACTACATCAATTAAAGGTAGAAAATATTGTACTCATTATAGTTTGACTCATTATTTATTTTTTTAATATTGTATACTATTTATGATTTTTTTTTTTAAAAAAAATAAATTTTTAATTTTAATTTTATATCAATAAATAATATAATACAACGTGAATTTTGGTTATAAAATTTAAAATATTTGATATTTTATTTTTTGATTAGAGTTTTGGTTGTCTAAGTATAATATTTTAAGTTTAATAGATCTAAATATTATATACATACAAATTTTAAGGGATTCGAGTTTAATTTATTAATGGATATTGACGACAAAAGTCTAAGTGTTATGCACTTATAAATTTTAAAGGGTTTATATATAATATTTTAAATATGAGGAGTTTAAGTGATTAAGTGAAAAAATTACAAGGATTTAGGTGTAATTCTCAAAAAAAAAAAAATTAAGAAAACAAGGTGTAAAACTTGATCAGTTTTGGATAAATTAACTTTTCAACAACCAGATTCCTACTAGTCAACGCTCATGCATGCTTTATCATTTCTCCCTTCAACTCCAAACCATATATATGCAGCAGACAGTCAAAACAACCAGTCCCATGGAAAAACAAAACCCTTCTGATCATCAAATTGGTGCTTTTTCTGTATCAATATTCAATATTAAGTTGTTGAATTGATCAGAAACAGGTGGTCACCAATCATGGCACTGGTTGTATACTGGTATGATTTCATCTGTTTCGGTATAGTTGGTACTGCCTTGTTTGGTGCCCTTTACGTGCTATGGAGGAGGGAAGGGGCCGGACAATGCCAAGACAAGAAGACCATGTATGAGAGCCTATTAGTTGGCCGGCCGGACAGTGAATTTTATGCAGGAGTGTCGACTCCGAGGGGCCATGTGAGCTCCTCCCAGTTATGGAGCAGTTGTTGGCGAGGGCTGCACCCTGGCTACCTCCTGGGTATACGTTTCGTCTCCTTCTCAGTCCTCTGTGGATTCTCAGCCTGGGACATTCTTGACTATGATGCATCTGTTTTTGTGTACTACACCGAGTAAGTTCTCTACCTATTCCAACTTCATTTAATGATTATATATATTTATATCTCACACCAAAAGGAGGAGGGATTTTGATATTGTATTGGCTTGGATGATCGAATCAATTACAGAACAATTTTAGGATCTATTGAACAGGACCAAATCCAATACATACATCTGTCTTTGTGCTACTTTTCTCGTATGTAAATCTGATGTTCTTATGGTATGATTGGTATGCAGATGGACTTTTACACTAGTTATTGTCTATTTTGCGGTATGTCAAGTGCTCAAACCCTTGATTTTATCTTCTTTATTGTAGCAAGTGCCTTTTCTAGTTGCTTTCAGATCACCATATGTAATCGTATACCTTGACTCAGGAATGTGCCCATTTATAGATGTAGACAACACCAACAACATGAGTTCAGTTGAGGATTCTGCTATAAAGTAATGACATTGGATGCATACTAAAGCTAAATCTTTTCTTGCTCTGCATTAACCTTTCTGTTTCTAGATCGGGACCATTGTGTCTGCATATGGATGTTTTTTGTACTACTCAAACAAACTTCCTTCTGATAATGGGGAAAGGGGAGAATTTGTAAAGAGGGACGTGGAAGAGAGTATATCAACATATACTGTCACCTCCAAGGCGAAAGGTAGTATGGGCACCATCAAGTTGCAAAGCCACTATGACCAAGAGGCAATCCAAGAAAGAGCGGGTTTTTGGGGATACCTTATGCAAATTTTGTATCAGGTCAGTCCATGTAGAACTCTTCTCTTTCCCTGTTAGGAGAAATCTCTGATTGCATGGTTTGTCTTGACACTGTTTCTGGTTCAACATCAATGGGCCTCTGATTTTTGTTTCTGTAACCAGCACTCTTGAAAATAAAGGTTGGCAGAGGTCTGAGTTGGGGGGTGGGTTCTAAAAGAGAGTTGTAATTGTAATTCTTCTGTATCAGTATGCCATTCATCCTACTAACTAGTAATTTGTGCTTCTGATGAGTTTTTGCCTTAAAAAGTTGGGAAAGACTTTCTAGAGCTGAGAAACCATGTGTTTCCTTGCATGATTTATTTTGCGGCATTATGAATCCTGTGGCTTAGCTGAAACTTTGAATGTGGTGGTCTTCTTCGTGTCTAATTTGAATGTGGTTCTAGACTTCTAGCCAACTTCAAGGTGCCCATGTCCATCAGCTCAATTGCATAGTAGGAGTGCTCCAAGTTCCCTCATATTTTTAAAAGATGGGTTCAGTGGCATGGATTCTAAGCATCACTTCCCACATCCTTGAAAGGGGACTCCCATAGCATTTTCAGGACTTGAGATGCCCTGTTGTTGATCGTCCCAGTTATGGAAATATGAAAATAGAGATCTATTTGAATTACTATTTACGAGAAAAGGGAAATTGAAGGATGCATATATTTCTGGTGTTTAGACTTTGAATATCAACAATATATATGAACATATTTCTGTTGCCAACAAAATAAAGAAACAAACAAAAGCTCCTTCTTGCATTATTTTGGCATAACTGAAAGTTGGTGATACTCATAAGAGAAATAATCATGTTTACTTGGGTTTGCCCACCTTTGGTACTTTTGGACGAATTGATGTTGCTTAACAAATCATCCAAAGGGGAGGAACAATTAAGAGAATGGCGGCAGTGCATCAGGTATTTTTGATCCAGGACTGATTTAATCCCTTATTTTATAGGTTCTGAAGTTATTATCTTGTAAAAAAAGATCGTGGAAATAGATTCGCTAGATAGTGAGCGAAGTCTTTTAATAATTCCTTTTACTATATGCATGCATTTGTATCTCATATGATCCCATAATTATTTTATTTAGAACATTAAGGAAAGTGGGCTTTACTACTCAGCATAGGGTGAAGTGTGAGGCCTGTATCATCTATGTGTTATGCCTGGAAGTATAGAGGCTTAAGCTTTGTGTCCTTCTCGTTGTGCCTTATGTCGAGGAGTGCCTTCTAACTAATTGACTAATTTTGCCTTCAAATGAACAGACTTGTGCAGGTGCTATTGTCCTGACAGACATTGTGTTTTGGGTTATTATTGTCCCATTTCTATCAATTGCACATCTTAAAGTGAACTTGGTAAGATTTCTGCTATTTTTCTCACAAATGAAATGCTTTACCTTTTTCATAATATTGAGACTTAATTAATTATCCTTTCTCAGAGTAATGTTCAGCGTCACACATACATAAATGTGGAACAAAATGGAATGGTATTGGCTGTCCATATAAATTCTGCATATTGTAGGCAATAGCTTGGGTTGGGTGGGCCAAGCTAAGGGAAGGAAATGTGCATTGATGACATGTGTGCTTCCTGAACATTTCACCATAAGTGTTTTTGTCAATGCTCGGAACCTATACATGTTGCTTTATGTAAGAAACAGTGATGTAGATAACGTAAATGGATTGATGAGCTCTTCTCTCTCGTGCCATGCAATCAGAATTAGATGCGCTATGCATTAGGAAATGAAGGATGGACTGCAAATGTCTGTCTATCAATAAAGGATCACCCTTCCAATGCAAACTTAGTCTCAACTCCCCCCCGACCCCCTCACCCCCAGAAAAAGCAGAAATTTGAAATTTCCCCCCAGACATGTTTTTGTATTTGGTGAATACTGTACACAATTAAGATCAAGTTTGTAATCTAATGTCTCAAATTTGCGGCAAACATCCCAGTTGTAGTTTGTACATTTGACCGCTGTAGCAATATGGTGATATCAAAAAGAAACGTGACTCCATCTGATGTTTAAAATCCAGTATCATCTTCACTATTGGATTTTAAAATGTGATAACAGTTGGTGATACCTTTACGTCCTGATCCACTTCCACTGCATCATCCTTGATAGTAAACTGTGACAAACATTTGTAAGTGCTTATTAGAGATGCCTACTTGAAATAGGAGAACTTTGCGAGGAATATATCTTCTCTTATTTTTGTGTAGCATGTCATGGTAAATTCTTGATAATAAACATTCCTTATACTGTTGATTTTGTTAGCCTCAAGAAAGATTTAAGTCTGCATTTTTTTGGATGCTTGGGTCTTGGTGGTACCTCTTATCTTTGTCATTCCTCGCTATTCCACCGGTGCAATTCTGATCTTTGTTGCTTCATGCTTGATAGTTGATGGGATGCTTGCATACACTAAATGCTGTTTTTCTTCTTCTTGATACCTCTGTCAATAGCCTTGTAAGTCTCTCTCTCTTTCTCTCTTGGCCTAAAAATATCTCTTTTTTCTGCTTCCACTGATTTTACTCTTGCAAAATTAATGTTGTTTTGCAGCCCTTTCCTTGGTTCCGGGTTTCATATTTTGTGCTGTGGACCTGCTGCTATGTGATTTTCCAGTGGGTTATTCATGCCATGGGTTTTTCATGGTAAGTTACCAAAGAAATCTTGTCCCTCCCTTTTGTCTGAGACTTTTGCTTCTGGAACCATTTGCTTATTCAAAGGATTCTCCTAGGTGGCCGTACCCTTTTCTGGAGCTTTCAACACCACGGGCACCACTATGGTAATTTAATTGGTTTTGGGATTAAAATATATATATATATATATATATACGTCTTGTCAATAAATATCTGACGTTGGTGTTGATGCATGCATTGCTGCAGGTATTGTTCCTTGGCTGTGATGCACATCCCCTGTTATGGACTATATTCATTACTTGTAAAAGCGAAAAATTCAATTTTTCCTATCTTGTTCCCTCATGCATTTGTGAGGTGTTAGTTTCTTGTCATCGATCTTTGGATGGCAATTGTAGGTTGTTTAGTTGAAGGGGGTTATCTGATTGTCTATTCTTGTATCACACACACATATACAAGTCTGGTATATCGAAACTTATTAACGTTGAGGATTAATTTTGTTATATAATTGATACAGTAATTATGTTGGTCATTTCACAAAAAAACTGACTTGACAAATTTTATGCTCGAATCTCAATTCAAGAGATGTATAATTGTAACATTATAAGGATGGCATTGATAGTGGTTCATGAAATGACACGTAGGCCATGGGTGGGTGGGCAATCCAGGAGTATTTGAGGAACGGTGTGGGTTAAGTATTGGTGGCAATCAAGTCAACCGACCCAACCCGTCGCTCTGCATCAAGGTTGGGTCCCAAGGTGTCATGAATGAATGTGGAATTAAAATTGTGGACCTAGTTTTCAGACGTGGTGTTGCTAGAACTAGAAGGTGCATCCAATGTGTAGAGTAGGTACTAGGTAGAGAGGGTGTTAAAAAAACATGAGAATAAACTCCAAGATATATATATATATATATATATATATTGCGGTAGGTAGGAGTAGGAGTAGGAGTAGGATGGGAATGCTATGCTATGCTGTGCTGCACTTGACTTGTGGTAGGAATCCACTTAACATCGTCAGGGACGGACACGATCATAGATATCAAGGATAAACATAAACGCAACAAATAAAGTATTATTGAGTAACGATTTTGGAAAATGTTTGTAAAGTACAGTAGAAAAATACTAAATCTGGTGACCCTATCACTAATTATTGAGTTAGGCTTCTTGTACCGTCCGGCTCACATCATATTCATATGGCATGGAATGGAATGGAACGCATCTCTGGTCTTTTCCCTGGAGACGTCGAGAGATTTTCTTCTTGAAATTAATCTAAAATAAATTATTATTGTCATTGTTATTATTGTCCTAAATAAATTTATGAGAAAATTTTACTCAAACCTCTTAAGATTTGTTACTTAATTATTTAGACCTCTAATATTTAAAATATTAAACACAAATCTCAAAAGTTTATACGCACGTAATACTAAAACCCTGCATTTAATGTCCAAAGTACACTTAAGCCCCTAAAATTTATAAGTAAATAACAAATATTACACTTAGATGAAAAATATATTTAGACCCCTCAAGTTTAAAATATTATATTTAGATAAAAAAAATACTTAAATTAAAGAAACAATATTAAATATTTTAAATTTTACGGCCAAAATTTATGTCATTTATTGAAATAAAATCAAAAATAAAAATTTAATTTTTTTATAAAATAATAATTAGAACTGTTGATACAAATTTTTGGATGAATTTCACATTAATTTGTTGGGCTTCGATTATCTGAAAAAGAAGTCGAAGAACAAAGGGAAGCTCTAGAGGTCGACTCTCCGATATTTATGTTAATAAGTGATTTAAAGGTATGAACTGTATATAGTAATCGATATAAATATATTAAAGAATTCAATTCAACACTCATTTGTACATAATAATATTGTCTATTGAAATAAAATTAAAACCAAAGAACGGATCAAATTGTAATAGATACAATATCTTCTATCTTTAATTGATCAATTTAGTCGTTTAATAGATTTCGTTAGTTCCATAATTAATAAAAAATCTAAGCATAATATATTAAATTTAAGGAGTCTAAATGTTACATACTTACAAACTTTAAGGGATCTAGATATAATTTAATAATGGATAAATGTTACGCGCCTATAAACTTAAAGGGTTTGTGTATAATATTTCAAATGTCAAGGATCTAAATGATTAAGTAATAAACCTTAGGATGTGAGTGTAGTTTTTTCTAAATTTATTGTTGGGAAACATATGACATTTGAAATATTGCACACAGACTCATTAAAGTTTGTATGCGCATAAAACTTAGACCCTTATTGTCAATATCCGTCAGTATATCCATTAGTAAATAATATCCAAACCCTTTAAAATTTGTAGGCGTGTAATACTTAAACCGCTCAAATTTAAAATTTAATACTTAAACAAAACAAATATTTCAATCAAAAATAGAATTCATAATTAGTATATAATTATACTATTTATTAGAATTTAATTTGGTTGTCTAAAGGACCAAATTAAACTATAAAATTACCCTAATTAAAGTTAGAAATATTATATCTATTCCAATTTGATCATTTGTTTGATTTTTTGTTTTATTTTAATTGATAGTATAATTGTATACTAATTATGATTTTTTAAGAAAAATTAAATTTTTATGTTTGATTTTATTTCAATAAATAATATAATATAACATAAATTTTAGTTGTAATATTCAATTATGAATGACTTAGACTCCTTCTTTGATTTTTTAAGTTTATTCTAATAGATAACATAATTTTATATAAAATTATGATTTTTTAAGAAAAAATTAGATTATTATTTTTGATTTTATTTTAATAAATAGTACAATAGAATATAAATTTTGGTTGTAAAATTTAAAATATTTGATATTTGATATTTAATTAGAGTATTTTTTTATCTAAATATAATATTTTAAACTTGAGAGATTTAAGTATAATATTTTAAATTTGAAGGGTCTAAATATAATATTTTAAATTTTCTGAATCTAAATATTATATAATTATAAACTTCAAAGGGTCTGAATTAATTTAATAAAGAATATTAAAGGAAAAAATTTGAGAGTTACACACCTTCAAATTTTAAGATATTTGTGTATAGTACTCTGAGCGAGTAAATAATAAATTTTAGAGGCTCTGGTTGAAGCACTACCTACCTCCTACCTCTCATTTCTCTGAGAGCCGAGAGAGATTTACGGGATCAGAAAATAGAAATGGGGAACTCCAACGAAGTGGTGGGCTTAGACTATTGGCTTAGATGGCAAGTACCAGTATGTGCTCTGATCCTCCTCGTCCCTACCGCAATCTCACTCATCCTCATCAACAGAAACGATAGAGATCCTCTTAAGTTCACTGATCTGTGGTTTCCATGTTGGAGAAACCTCAATCCCTTTTGGCTCCTACTCTACAGGGTTTTTGCTTTCACTTCCATGGCTTTCGTGCTCTATCAGATCGTCGTAGCCTTCGGATTCTTTGTTTTCTATTTCTACACGCAGTATGTTCGTTTGTCAACGCCTTGTATCCTTTTTATGACTACTATATTCACAAATGTCTATTGTTGTCTAATGTATTGATTTCCAGGTGGACATTTACATTGGTTATTTTCTATTTTGCGGTATGTCCATCCAGCCATATGTTTTTTGTTTTTCTCTTTGATAGTCTTCACTTTGAAGTCTAGTGAACAAGTTTTGTGTGCTGAATTATCATTCATTTTGATTCCCACTTATAGCTAGCTACTGTTATATCTGCTCGTGGATGCTGGATGTACATGAAAAATCCTAGTTTTCAGAGTGGGGAGGGAGACAAGTTTCTGAAAAAGGATTCAGAAGAAAGTAAACACGAAAGCAAGACGACTTACAAGGGAATCAATTTACAGGGCCATCACAGTCAAGTGCAGAATGAGCAACTAGCCGGATTTTGGGGTTATCTTATGCAAAATGTTTATCAGGTTAGGCTATTCAATTTCCATCTTTTGACATTTTTTATTTTGTTTTATCAATTTTGGCAAGTTGAAATAATTGCAAGTTTCAAACTGCATTTCTCTCCTGCTTATCGAGATAAAAGCCCAATTTTTGAAAACGAAGGGGCCTTCTAAAATTCCAAGAGAAAAGCTCCTGGATTCTTCATTTGCTGGCTGAACAATCATGTCACTGGTCACTCCCAGGATGGTAATAGAAAGGAGTACTATAAGAAAGTGAAAAGCAATTTGTGTGAAATAAATGATGTCCAAAATTTGTGAAAGCCCATCTCTTTATCTTAAATTTGTTTTTGTCTGATAAGTTTTCAACTCAGTTTTTTATGGACCACTTGATATATTTGAACATCGTGAAAAGGTTCTGAGATCTAACACAAGTATAATCAATTGTCTTCGAATTTTCAGTTACATATTCCCACGAGGACCCTAACCAATATCGCCTGTTTATAATGTGGATAAAATGACTTAATCTCTATGCTTTCTGCAAATTAGGTTCGCTCAATTAACCAATGGCTGAAACTGATTCTGCCCTTTAACAGACTTGTGCAGGTGCTTCTACGCTAACAGACATAGTCTTTTGGTGTCTTCTTCTCCCATTTATGTCAGGTGAAAATTTTCAGCTCACCGTGGTGAGTCCTGATCTTGTCAAAATGTTGTATTCCTTAGCACTGCAACCTGATTTCGTTTCTCTATATTTCTTTTTAATCCTATTCCTACAGGTATCAGGTACAACTATTGGTCTTAAGTTTTCATTTCTGTCTGTAGTATTGATTCATGTCATTTTCAAACAAAAATACCAAAAGGGTTGTTTATAACAAGACTGGTTGCATCATATATAAAATATGCAACGATGTCAACACCATCTTCCTTTTACAGAAAAAGTTCTAATTTATCATCAAATGGAATCCATAAGATAATTTCTGTAGAAGTTTAATGTGCTTTTTCTCCTATCTACTGGGAAAAATGCGACATGAAACAATAATAACATTTAGAAGTATTTTGTCTGAAAATCTAGGTTGTGTATTTTTTTTGTTGGCATTCTTCGCTACATTGCTTTTTGATTTCTTTTACCTGATCTGTCAGAATCTACAAACTCTTCCCTCTGATATCCTACAAGCCTGAAATGGAATTTATGTTCCCAATTCAAAACTCCTGATCCAAGCAGCTACTAAGATGATCACAACTTTACCTGTACGACAATCTTATCAGTAGAAGTCGTGATTATATATGTGGAGGACAATCTTGGAAAATTTGTGGGCATTGGAAACATATGATTTTAATAACTTGGTCTGGCAAATAGGATGTGCTAAATTTGACCTGCCAATCATCTGCGGTTATGTTGTAGTCCCCTATAGTAAATTGCAATAGCCTTACGAAGAAACGCCAATGTTGTGTCCCTTAATTCCAATTTTCCAATCAAATATATTCTTATGAGAACATGTCAAGTACCTTATGCTATTTCTGCTCTTTTGTAATATGTATGAGAATAGAGGTTTCCTTTTCAAGATTAGGGTTTAGAAGATTATCGTTGAAAAACAGAGAGACCACTCATATACAGTGATTATATAAAAAGCAGAAGATGATTTTACGTTCAATTAATAGAAGTTCATTTCTCACTTCACAGACTTCATTAATCATTACTTCCGTGGCCTTGCAGAAATTGTACTGGTTACATTAATTTTCCAGATCCTTTTGCACTTTGAGTTCACTTGTCGTCATATTGTTGTCATTGCTAATAATTGATTTTCCCGTTGATTTGGCAGTTGATAGGATGCATGCATTCTCTCAATGCTGTTTTTCTTCTTATAGATTCCACTCTCAATAGCCTTGTAAGTATCACTGCTTCACCATTTTCTCTGCCACAATATTAGCCAATGAATGCATGTCATTGGTTTCCACTGCTATTTCCAACTTTTGTTTCAGCCTTTTCCTTGGCACCGGCTTACATACTTTGTGCTGTGGAGCTCTGCCTATACTTTTTTTCAGTGGATTCTTCACGCATGTGGCTTTACATGGTAAATACCTTCTCTCACTATGCTCTGCCCAGGTGCTGCGGCTTGATATTGATAATGTATTTAAGTATTTTTTGCTTTTCCATTTTTCTTTCATTTTTGCTGTTAAAAAAGAGAGTTAATTTGTTTTATGAATCTCTAATAGGTGGCCATATCCATTTTTTGAGCTTTCTACTCCATGGGCACCTCTGTGGTAATCTGTTCGCTAATATTATTATCATATGTCCTTGAACTGTATGGATGGTCTGACATGTGTTTTTTTAAGTACAGGTATTTTAGCTTGGCTTTGGTTCACATCCCCAGTTATGGAATATATGTACTTCTTATCAAAGCAAAAGGCTCAATCTTTCCAAGAATGTTTCCCCGTGCATTTGTGAGGTCATACTAGTTCATCAATGTCTCAATTAAGACTCAAGCTTTACTCAGATTGAAAACTAAGAAGGTTCAAAACAAACATTTCCATGCTTTTCTTCCTTTTTCTTTTTTTTGGGGGGGGGGGGAGTCTTTCTCTGAAGCGAACTCATCATATGTTTGAAATGATTGCATCAGTTGTCTAACAATCAAAAGAAATTGATATTTATTCACATTAGGGTTAGTGGGCTTGTCTAATAAGTCATAGTTGGTTGATAATTTCATGTCAATAATAATATCATGGTATCACTATTGTATTCAATGTTTTCTCCTCTATCTAGTCACCACCACGAATGGATGCTAACATGCATGTATTGTCTATGGCAGGGTTTTAGTTTCAGCTAGCAGAAATTCAGTGGAGAAGAAGCAGACCTAAATTAATGCATTATATAAAACTAGCTCTGTGTGCTTGTTTGATTATTGTATATGGAGGAAACTGTGAACCCCGGTCTTTACCGCAGTAGTATTGTTGATGAATTATGATGGAATATGGACAGTTCATTGCATGAAGCAATTCTTGTTGTTTCATAATTTTGTTTTGTGTCTAAATGTTTTGGGATCGGACACTCTTATACACATGCAAGGATCAATAAAATGATGGAAGTATAAGGAACCTGGTGGCAAATTTTCAACCCTCAGCTTACTATGGTTATGATAATATTTCACTGGAAGTGATGTACTCTCTAATTTAATCAGAAACATTCGTGTCACAACCTCTTGTTGAGACTGAGAAGCTGCTGGAACTCTCTTTCAAAAGAAATGGAATCTCTCCAAATCAAGTATTTGGGTTTTCAATTCTCTCTACCTTTCTTTATTGAAATGTCTGGCTTAATATAGTCATCCAACAGAAACAGAATTGCAATAGTAGTGCAACAACTAACAACTAAGAGAAACAAATGAGAAAGAAACAGAACTAATGTAACAATTTCAGCCTTGAAATGCTCTGACTTGTGATGCTTGGAGATTGAAATAGTCACGCAAGAGACTTGGTCAAATGTGCAAAGAATTAGGAACTCAGACCACCAATCACCTCACATGCTCTGTTTGCATCAATTGCGTCCCTCCCGGAAGAACTTGCCTCCAGCAAGTTTCGCTGCAGATATTCTTCCATAATTGCTGGGCTCAGGCGCAAAACTTCATCTGCAGGAAGCCACACAGCTTCGGATAATGGTTTGTTCTTCCAGCTAACCAGAAACTTGTGATATCCCCCGCGACGCGTTGAAACAAATTGATGATCACGGATAGCATTAACCTCGTCATGTTTTACTGGCATAGTAAGAATTCGGACCACTGGTTCCTCTGGTGGTTCATCTTCTATTACCTCACCTTTGTACTCTGTTAAGTCTTCGACATTGAAAATTGGGCTAATGCGATAGTTTGGTGGTAAGTCTACAACATATGCATTGGTGCCCAACTTCTTAAGGATTGGAAAAGGTCCTGCCCATCGAGCATGAAGTTTGTTATAGCTACCTGGAGGAAATCGTTCTGAACGAAGCCTGATCAAAACCATATCACCTACTTCGTATTGCTTGTCCCTTTTTTTTTTATTTGCTTGGTTCGAGTATTCCTCCACCTGGACCACAATCTTCAATCGAAAATCATCATGCATAGTGGACATATATTTGGAGAAATCAAGTGCTGCTTCGCTAACCTGCAGTGGCATAGGAAGAGAGCTGATATCTAGGGGAGTTTTTGGACTGTACACAAAAACAATTTGAAACGGTGTGCACCCAGTTGTTGGGTTTACTGAATTGTTAAAGGCAAATTCTGCTTGAGGCAAAATTAAATCCCAGCTGGTTGCATGATCTTGGACAAGGCATCGAAGCAAATTGCCTAAACTCCAGTTTGTGACTTATGTCTGGCCATCCGTCTGTGGGTGGAACGCATTGGAAAAGGCTAACTTTGCACCCATCTTCGACCATAACGTTTTCCAAAAATAACTCACAAACTTCACATCACGATCAGAGACAATTATAGATGGGATTCCATGCAAACGTATTATTTCCTTTAGGAACAAGGTTGCAACTTGCGAAGCATCATAAGTTTTCCGGCATGACACAAAATGGGCCATCTTTGAAAAACGGTCGACAACCACCATCACTGAATCATTACCTTGAAGGGTTTTGGGCAAACCCAACACAAAGTCCATGCTAAGATCAACCCATGGTCGGTGCGGTATCGGCATGGGAGTATACAACCCTGAGTTTTGTTTTACCCCTTTATTAAGTTGGCATACTCGACAGCGGTTGACAATAGTGTACACATCATGACGCATACTTGGCCAGAAAAAACGATCGGCAACGACTGCAAGGGTCTTGTCATAGCCAAAATGTCCTGCGAGACCACCACCATGGAGTTCACGGATTATGAACTCTCTCAAGGACCCTTCTGGCACACAAACTCGAGATTGTCTGGTGAGGAACCCTTCCTTGATAGAGTAACCAAACACCATGGTGGGTGGATCTTGCTTGAGGTCCTCCCAAACAACCTTGAAATCTAGATCTGTGGCATATTGATCCTTCATCGCTTCAAATCCCGTAGCATTTACACAAAAAATGGGCAACCAAACACCATGGTGGGTGGATCTTGCTTGAGATCCTCCCAAACAACCTTGAAATCTGGATCTGTGGCATATCGATCCTTCATCGCTTCAAATCCCGTAGCATTTACACAAAAAATGGGCAACAGGTATGATCTTCGACTAAGAGCGTCGACAGCCTTGTTTTCCTTTCCGATTTTATGTTTAATTGCGAACTCAAATCGCTGGAGGAAATCAAACCAGCGAGCATGTTTTGCATTCAACCTATTTTGAGAATGGAGGTGCTTCAAGGAGTCATGGTCGGTGAAAAGAATAAACTCACGATGTATGAGGTAGGGCCGCCAGTGTTTCAACGTTTGGATCAATGCATAGAACTCCATATCATAGGCGGAGTATTTTTGCCGTGATTTATTGAGCTTTTCGTTGAAAAAAGCTATGGGATGCCCTTCTCGACTCAAAACACCACTGATGCCGACATGAGAGGCATCACAGGCTACCTCAAAAATCCTAGAGAAATCAGGTAATTTGAGAACTAAGGTGGTTGACATTTTATTCTTAATTTCGAAAAATGCCTTGGCTGTTGCAGCAGTCCATTCGAACACCTTCGCCTTCAAGAATTCAGTAGGTGGGGACATTATAGTGTTGAATCCTTATATGAAACGCCTATAAAAAGTCGCCAGCCCATGGATGCTTCGAATATCAAAAAAAGAACGAGGCGTTGGCCAGTCAAGTATGGCTTGAACTTTTGAAGGATCAGTTTCCACTCCTCTATGTGACACTATGAATCCCAAAAAATTGGTCTTCGGCTTGAGAAAAGAACATTTGCTGCGATTGAGAAAAAGTTGCTCCTTTCGCAAAGTATCTAACACTTGACGAAGATGAACAAAATGATCTAATACCGAATGACTAAAGATGAGGATGGGTCATCACTCGCATGAACGTACTTGGCACATTGGTCAAGCCAAATGGCATCACAAGCCATTTATAGAGTCTCTCCTTTGTTTTAAAAGTTGTCTTCCACTCATTTTTAGGCCTAATACGAATCTGGTGGTATCCATTACGCAAATCAAGTTTAATGAAAATGACAGCACCTCCCAATAAATCCAACATATTGTCGAGTCGAGGAATGGGAAATTAATCCTTCACGGTTATCTTGTTTATGGCTCTGCTGTCGATACACATGCGCCAGCTGCCATCTTTCTTCGGTGTAAGTAATGCAATGCAGGTATGGCGCATGGACTTAGACTTTCGCGAACAAACCCATGGTCCGCCATTCTTGGACTTGGCGTTGAAGCTCAGTGTGCTCGGTTGGGCTCATCCGGTAATGGGGCAGGTTGGGCAAGGTGGACCCAGGCACCAAGTCGATGACGTGTTGAACTTCTCGCAGGGGTGGCAAGTGGTGTGGTAGCTTGTCAGGTATTAAATGTTGATATTCATAAAGCATATCATCAAGCTCGACTGGTATTATACCATTAGTCTCTTTGGCATCTCTGCCGACCAAGAAAAGGATCATTTGCTCTTTTTGTACCGCCTTGGTAAACTCTCGAAGAGTAAGAACTGGGGTGAGTTTCTTGACTGCGTCGAATTCATTGATCGGGAGTCGTTCGAGCACAATTTTCTTATCTCGAAAGATAAAGGAATAAGTGTTCTCAAAACCGTCTTAAGTGACAAGCCGGTCATACAACAAAGGTCGCCCCAAGAGCAAGTGACATACCGTCATGGGGATGACATCACACCATACTTCATCCGCGTGTTTTTTTCCCAATGAGAACTTAATAAGACAGCGATACTTAACGGGAACTGAGTTGGTGTCGTCTATCCAGCTAATACGATACGGGGTAAGGTGTGCTTCCTGTTGCAACCCCAATCGTTCAACCACTTCTCCTGAAATAACATTCATGCCGCTGCCATGTTCGACTAGTGTGTGAAAAATGATAGTTCGTTTCCTCCCATGGTTACCTTGCTCGAACTTGCTGAATGACGCGGCTAGGGAGTGTAGTAGCTTCTAATCGCTCTTCTTCAAGATTGACTCCTTCCATTACAACATCATCGTCTGTGTCATCAATATCTTCGGTGAGCAGTAAGTCCTTTTCGCAAACATAAGCTATTCGTTGGTCTCGAGTAGGACAGACCACAGTGAAATGGCCAAATCCCTTGCATTTGTAGCATTGAGGTCCCTCGCCAAATGCTTTAGCTTTTCTTTTCCAATCACTTGTGGGTCCTCCTAGTGTTGGTTTTGAATTTGGAATTGCTGTTGGTCTGGTGGTCCTAGCTTCGGCAAATGGAAACCTCCGCAGCCTGGCTGAGTTCATCTGCTTTTCTAATTAGAGGGCTACTTGGTAAGCTTCGTGGGTGCTATATGCTCGCGTCGTCAACATTTCTCTTCTTATTTCACTCTTCAACCCATTTAGGTAACGGGCTAAGGTCTGGGCTTCTGTCTCCACCACCTTGCTTCTCACCGTTAGTTCTTGAAACCGTTTAGTATATTGATCGACAGTTGCCCTCACCCCTTGTTTCAGTTGAAGCATATCCTTATAAACAACTTGCTCGTAGTTGATCGGCAAGTATTTTGCCAGTAGCCTTTCTTTCATTTCTCCCCACTCAGAAACAGGAGGTTGATGGGTTCGGCGTAGCTGTTCCTCGACGTTGCTCCACTACGCACGAGCAAGCCCCTTTAGTTTCATTCTTACAAATCTTACTTTGCCGTCTTCTGAAATAGCAAACCACTCAAAATAATCTTCGAGAGCAGTAAGCCAGTCATGGAAAGCATCAGGATTGAGCTTTCCAAGGAAGTAGGGGACATCGACCTTCATTCTCTTGGTTAATTCATCCGAGGGCTCCCTTCAAACATACTGGTTGGCCCCAAATTGACCTCACTGGTGAATTCCTTGTTCATGAAAGACTCTCTGTCCTCTTCCTTCGCCCTTTTGCACCTCGTCTTCTTTTTCCCGATCACTTTCCTCACCCCATTCTTCCCTCCGTGGAGCTCTCCGATCTCCTCTTGGTTCCCTCAATTCCTCACAGTGCCGTCGGACATCCATGACATCCAACCTTCGCACTACCGTGTCCACAGTTTGGGAAAGCTGGTACAGTTGCTGTTGAAGGCTTGTTTGTGCTGGGTTGGGATTGGTGTTGGAATTTTGATCCATAGGATTGTAAGATTGGCTACTTTTGGTTCGGAGCATATAGTGAGGTGTTCAGATCAAACGATGCTCTGATACCAAATTTGATGTACTCTCTTATTTAATCAGAAACTTTCATGTCACAACCTCTCGTTGAGACTGAGAAACTGCTGGAACTCTCTTCCAAAAGAAATGGAATCTCTCCAAATCAAGTATTTGGGTTTTCAATTCTCTCCACCTTTCTTTATTGAAATGTCTGGCTTAATATAGCCATCCAACAGAAACAGAATAACAATAATAGTGCAACAACTAACAACTAAGAGTAACAAATGGGAAAGAAACAGAACTAATGTAACAACTTCAGCCTTGAAATGCTCTGACTTGTGATGCTTGGAGATTGAAACGGTCACAAGAGACTTGGTAAAATGTGCAAAGAATTAGGAACCCAGACCACCAATCACCTCACGTGCTCTGTTTGCATCAAGAAGTAGGTTTCCAAACTCGTAAACCAAGTTTACCATACTGCGTTTGTGGACATTGATTTAGATTATTAAATCCAAATTAACACTCTTCTGTAGACAAGAAAAGAAAAAGAAAACAAAGAGAGAAAACGAAAAGAGAGTTCACCGTGGAGTCTCCTAGACTACCATGAGAAAAAGTCTGCCTATTCATGGCTGCTATTTGTAGGCAATTAGAAGCCATCTTCCTGCCATCGGATTGACACCTGCTCGCCCGTGCTCAAAGATGTCAAAGCACTGCCCACTCAAACTAGGAAACTCATGATTGTGGACACAAGTACGTCATGCGACTGAGGGTCATCACTTGCAAGGAAACCAACTGTATGGTCCAAATCATAAAGGATGTTGTCGTAGTTCTCTAGGTATGCATTGACAGGCGTGAGGCTTTCATTCCTGGTGAAGAAGGATCTTTCATAAATTCCCTAGCTAGCTTTCTCCTTGGCCAGCTCCATAGCGTGAACGGTAGCATTTAAGTTCATCACAAGGACAGAAACGGGCCGGGGTCAGTCTTGCCATTTAGATATGGGATGATGGAAGAGACACAATTTAAGGGCAGAATTTACAGTGGTGCGTGGGGGGATCAACCTGCTCGGGTGATGTGTGCAATGGCTTGGGATTGGAGTAGGAGTAGAACTATATAAGATGAGGATTTGGGATGTAATTGTTGGAAACTTTTTGCGAGGCTTATATATGTAAGCCATTGATGCTGGGGTGCCCAAAATCAAGTTGTCCTAAAATGAGAAACCTTGGAATGTTTGCATGGCTGATCAGGTGTTTTGGACAAACCCTGAAATTAGTAGGTTGAAAACCACCTGACGCCAGCCGAGATTATCATGCCTTATATTTGGAGCATTTGGGGTCAATGATTTAATTTGACTAAAAGAGTGCATATGTCTGCCAATCGTCCTTGGACGGCAGGTTGATGCTAATATTACTTGCACCCTGGGATTCAAATCTTATTATTATATAACTAGATTGAATCGAATTGTCACATGAAGTGTGATGTGGTGATCGAGTTCGGTGTGCCACTTTTTTCAGGTATCTTAAAGACAAATATATCATACAAAAATGCAAAATTAAACTGTTACTTATTGAGAGGGTGTAATATGAACATTTAAGCTAACGAAAGGAGCTGAAGATCGAGTAAGACAATAAAGGATGTGAATAGTGGCGACCAGGGAAGAAACCATGGCAGTGCGTCATTGGAGATATGGATGGCTTCTACCTAGCCAAATTGAAAACTATAAATTGTTCATGTAGCTGAGTCCCAACAGTGTAGTGTACTTTGTACTTTGAACTTTTACTGTTGTCATGATATCATTATTGCTTGTTTATTATTCTTCAATATAAAGGAGAAATATATGTGTCCTTAGGATGTTGGTGCATGATAGTGATTTCTGAACATATTTTTCTGCCTTTTATTATGACTAAAGATGGACACAAAACTAATCTAGTGCTTATTAATATGTTCCTATTTACCCTTTATGTGGTTGTTTCCATGAAGAATTTTTTGTACTTCAAACTGATCATGATGCAAACTATCATTCCCATATATCCAATACATTAAATAGTGTGACTTATCAAAACTATTAGAGAATTATCAAATAAATTCCAAGTTATTATTCATCTTTAATGGTGTGGACAAACAGGATATGTGCACAAATAAGAGTTACTCTGACAAAACATAACAATTCAAAGTTTATATATGACAAAAGTTGTACAGGATATATGCAACTTAAGGGAGTGGACTTCACCACAACATCAAACATCTTGGTTTTCACTTTTTTAAGGTTTTCTAGGTTTAACCATTGCATATGATTGATTAGTGGGTAATTGTAAGTACCCATGGTTTACTCACTAAGAGTAGCTCTAATGTAGTTGTCTTAGAGAAAATTTTTGTCATTTAAGAATAAAAGATGTAATTGAACAAAAACATGTAAGAGTCGCACGTGCTTATCAAAAGACGTAAAGAAAATACAAAAGCAACCTATATGGTTTTATCTAAGCAATAAAAATATATATATATATATATATATACTCTCAACTAGACATACTTAAAATTTATAACTACGATACATAGTTTGGATTATGCAATTACTCCTTAAGTACATGCATATTAAACGTGGATTTTATCTAGTCAAGACGTGCCATCGTTGGGACATCCAGATTGGAGGTAAAAATATTAGACAAGCCATTGTCATACAATTGGTAGAGTTTATTAAACCCTATTTCTCTTTTTCATTTTAATTTACAATAATTATGATGAGAGATAAACTTCACAGAATTGGAAGTGCCTAGCAAGGTACCAGTACTGGGTTTTTTTGGCTTTGTAAGTTTTATTGAATATGAAAAGGGCATCTAAGTGCCTGATATATTTAATGTACAATGGATATTTACTATCTTGTCTAAATTCAGTAAGGCTTTATCATATTAATTAATTACAAAACAGGGAAATAAAAGTTTTTAGTTTGTACTAACAATGCACGACATGCGTTGCACATAAAAATTTTTGTTGAAACATTTAATAAAATGCATAAAAATTTAATTATATAACTACATTAGATATCATCTCATATTTAAATTATTTGCATTCTCTTCATAACTATAAACATCTAATAGACTTATTTTTTTGTGATTCTTTCATTTGAGCTAACAAGTTGTAAGGTTTATAGATTTTTCTTTTATCAAGTTTTTTTTTCTTTTTGTCTTTCTTGTGTTTACTTTGTGCATCAGTAAGTTTTTTTTTCAAATTATTTTGATTCTGAATAAAGAGATAAAATAAATATATCAATTTTTGGGCATTGGAGATGAAATTGTATCAATGGAGATGTTCACGTGTATTAATATTGAGGTTTTGGAAAAAAAAAAAAAAAAAAGAGTAACGATGGTTTTTATATATCATGTTAAACATAATGTGATCATCCAAAAGTTTTACAAAGATAGAGAGATTTGCATGATATATTAGAAATTAGTTTATTATTTAAATACAAAGGGATATAATGGTAGTTTGAATATTCAAATACAAAATGACATATTAACTTTTATAATTTTTTATAAGGACAAAATAATGAATAAATTTTTTTTTATTTTAAAGTACTTTTAATAGTAATATAGATATTGATAAAATGTATATAGCACAGCAGTGCAACAGTCAACCGGCCACCCTAATAGTCAAAATTACATATAATTTATATTATTATAAAATTTCAAATACTCTTAAAAAAGATAGTATATACATCACTTGTTTTGTTATGATTATTAAAGTCAAATAATGATAACAAATAATTTCACCTCGATTTTATCTACAATTACTTGTGTACCACTAAATGTCAATTTAGGTTCATTAAATTGCCAATAATTTCAATGCAAAATCATCAAATAATCTAAAATTTATAACTCAATACATGCTCTACTACACAAATAGCCTATTATTTTGGCTCAATTCAAAAAATTATTTAACAATTTTTTTAAAAATAAAAAGATATATTTACTCGAGATGAGTTGTCAACAAAATAAGTGGTCACACATAAAATACCAACTTAAATTGACGACTACTTAGTTTTTTGTGATTTTCTATTACGTTTTTGTCCCTAAAATAATTATTAATAATTTTAAAAATCACAATATCTATATAACATTTTTTATGCGCGAGAGTCTCCGTTAAAGAAAAGGATTGAATGCTCGTACCTCTATTAATACATATAATACGTATTTAATATATCTTTATTCACGTGTATTTGTTAATACATGTAAATACGTATTTGATACACCTTTATTTATGTGTATTTGTTAATACATGTAAATATATATATATATATATATATACGTATAGATATTAAATGTTTTAATTGTGGCAAACCAGGCCATATTAGTTCTAATTGTCCAATTAAAAAGCAGGTTAAAAGATTAAATTTATCTCAAGAAGATGAGGATAAAATCCTGGAAATCTTTAGAATAAATAATTTAGACAGTTCTGCAGAATCGGAAAGTCCAGAAGAGCCATCAGATTCTTCTGACTATCATTCCGCATCTGATCACTCTCATGTCCAATTAGGATGTGCTTGTCATAAACAAGTTCGGGTAATCACTAAACAAAATGAAGAACACATGCTTATAGATCTAATCTCCAAGATAGAAGATCCAGATCTCAAAGATAAGTATGTTAAACAACTTAGGAATTTGTTTAAAAAGGACAGTAAACAACCTGCTCCTGAAAAACAAATTATAAGTCTTAACAAAACTATGGAAAGATTCAGTAAGGAAAAGAAAAAAGAGATTACCTTACCAGATCTCCAAGGTGAAGTTAATAAACTCAAAATAGAAATAAAAGAATTAAAAGCTCAAGACAAAAAATTTGCAGAAGCTTTAAGTCTTTTACAAATAGAAAAAAAAAATCTGAAAAAACTCAGGATTCTGATCTAGAAGATCAAGATTTTACTAATCCTTTTGATCATCAATGCTTTACACAGGGGATACCAGTAACCTCCTCCTTTCAGACGGAAACTTCTTGTGTAACGAACCTGCCTTCATTCCAGGAAGTAAGCA